AAAAAAAATATGTTGTCTTGATTGGTTTTCCAGCTAACGCTACAAAAACCTCACTGACGCTGATCTGGCATCTGAATGTAAAAAGCTCTGGAACTTTATTTCATGTATTTCATCAGCAAATTTTTATCGTGTAAATCGGGTTAACTATTCGTCCCTCTATACAAGCAAATTTGTGGGCGGTTCTAGTACATTTGTGCTTCAAATTAAACTGTTTTTGTCGCATAAGTTTGTTTTGTTTGTTTGTTTATTTCGATCCCCATTAGTGCTTAAAAGCACTATTCTTCCTGGGGTCAATAAAATAAAACATAGATAACAAAACTTTGTACATAATGATGATTACAAAATAATAAAGTAACTTCAAATCAATAGAGTAAATTCAAATCAATAGGAGAGGTCAGAGGTCGACCTAAAAAAAGCACAGAATAATCTGAACATAATCCAGAGTTGTATGTAATCAACAAAGGTGCCAACAAAATTAACAAAGGTATAAATAACTTAAATAACTGAATAGAACATAATGTCTAACTGATCATAATTCCAAAGAAAAGATAAATATAACAAATTGATCAGCCATTTAAATAACTGAAAGGTAGCAGCAGAGACAAAATAACTTATACAAAATCAAATAAAACATCTTTGTTTCTTCCTACATCTAAAAAGCAGAAAAAAAGAAAAGGAAATCCTTACATTGTAAGCCATTTTTGACCGTACCCGAAAAAAACACATTATTTCCTGGGCCTAAGTTGATAGTATAGTAAGGCTGGGGATGTCAAATGTACCTGTAGCCACTGGTCTGTATTCAGACCCGGGGACCAGCACGCCCCCTGCTGAAGTCCCTCCCCGTTGTTCAGACGTGCCTGGCGGGGGTAGAAGTCGTCAGCTCGCGATGAGGCACGCAGGGCGTGGTGTGGGATCTTTGCAGCTACGCCTGAATTGTTGGGGTCAATCCCCACTCCTAGGGGAAAGTACCCCTCTTGGCTCAGCCAAGTGTCTTCGTCTGAAAAGAATGGTCGTTGTTATATCCTTCATGCTATCAGTGCTTCACACATCAAAGTTGCCATTAGTAATTATACATATACACACATACAACTTAAGAAAACAACGATTCAATCAATTTTTTACGGATAAAAAAATAAAACATCCAGAAGTCTCTGATTTTACCCAAATGAGCCACTGTGCACAAATATATCATTTGTTTAGATTACGAATGTTTTTTTTTTCTATTAAATTATAAACTTTTAGGATCGGATTTGAAGGTCCCGAATGATTGATTTTAATTGCGGGGCATGTTGATACTAGACATTGTGTAAGTTCTAATTTTCAGACTCGATTTTCTAAATAAATGTATTGAAATACGTAGGACTCATTCAATGTCGGTTGTGTCAGCAAGCAAATGCTTGATGAAAAGGGCAACTGCAATAGAATTAGTATCTATCTGATGACAATTATATGGTTTTCATTGATAAAATAATAATACAAACTTTAAATGAACCTACCAATCAACCAGCGATCACTAACAACACAAAAAACAACCAACTGATCATCCAGGGCAGCCAATCAACGAACTAACCCACCAAACAAGGAACTAACGAACCGTTTGTAACGTACACCTCCATCACCAGGGCGATCCAGCCTTCATAACCTGTTGGGTACAGCCGGATGTAGCGTGACGTCACTGGTTCCGGGAATGGGCGGCTCACTTTGTTGTACCGGTCCCTGTTTCCTGGAAAAATCTGGACAAGAAACTCAGTACGTGTAGGCTTAGAAAAAGTATCAAAGAGAAAAGAATATCATAAACAAGGCAAGTTAATGCCCGTGGGCTAATTGCAAACTGACATGGACAATGCGTACAGAACAGAATGTATTGAAGAATGGGATAAAACCATGCATCAACAAAATGTTCTACTAACCTAACTTTCTACCTCTACTTAAATAGAGAGAATATGTCATACATAAACAGGCAACTAAGAGAAACATGATGACAACTGCCACTGGACTTTTCCCACATACAAGCCCCACCTACAAGTACCTAGGTCAAGTATTAAAGTGCAAAAATTTGGCCAATATGCAGTCACAGTTTCATTTGATTTAAAAGTATTTTTAAATTGGTAAGATGTTCTATTTATATTAACACACTTACTCTCTCTCTCGCTCTCTGTGAATTCCAAGACTTGTTTTATCATCATTTTTTTGTCCCATATCAAAGACCTATTTTACCATCACGCTGCTGCTGTTTCCTTTGTATGGTGTCCACGAGGCGCCATCCATGCTAAATGCCAGAGTGAATGACGTCACCCAGCTGCCCAGGTCCCAGTTCGAGCCACCTCCACTGATCGCCACGCCTGTGACGTCAGTAGTCTTGCCAAGGTAAACCTGTAGTAAAAAAAAATCCTGAGCTCTCTCTGTTAGTTATATTCCTAAGAAGGGGACCCAGTCACCACTGACGAGAGATTGTGTAACGCAGGATAGGGTTAATAGCTGCCAAATTACATGGCATTTTCATTGTGTTAGCAGTGGAGGGATGCATAGATCTTGTAACATTTAAAGAATATATTAATATGTTTATCTATATTTAGATATATCCTTAATTTGACCATGTTGATTTGATTATATGGATGACATTCTCTACGAACCCCCAAAATGATGCGAGCGGGCGAATTAAAAAAAAAAATTCCAAAAAAATCCCCTTCATTAAGGTTTACAAAATGACTAAACACACCGAAAATTGAATACCTCTCCATATCTCCATCACCTTCACATTTCCATTATTTTCCTTTGGGATTGATTTTGACATTCTGTGAAATAAGTATCCTTGTTGATACTTTTTTTTTTAATTAACAGCATATATTTGCCCATTTTGCAGCTGCTTTGTATGGTTTAAAATGTATGATGACATCCGCGCGCGCATGTCATCCATATAATCAAATCAACATGGCCTTATGAGAACCAGTTTTAATTTGATAGTAGCTCACGGTTCTTTGACGCTATGGAAACTTCCTATTCCTTTGACATTTCTGTCTGACAATAAAAGGCGTAGCCATATGGGGACTGGCAAGACATCTTGTGATTTTTTCGGGAAACTATAACCCCAAACGTACCTGAAGCCACTGTTCCTCCACAGACCGTGGCACCCAGCAGTATCCTGTTGTAGATGCCGGAGTGTACCGGGCTTGGAATGATGCAAACTCCGTCTTGTACTCGGAACTGGAAGTGATAAAAGCATCGGGGATGTACCGACTCTCCAAACCTAGAGGGTGGCCAGGAGGTGGGGGATCTGTAGAGGACATGTTGAGAATGAAGCATTATCGTTTCTAGAACCGTACGTGCTGGAGAATCCAGAACCGAGTTTTATCCAGAACCATGCATTAGCTAGCACGTTCTGGGTAGTCCATGTGTACCCAGAATCAGGTCTTGGGCAAATCTACGTTGTTGGATACGCGGCGACAACCCAGAATCGTTTCTTACTATATGCAAGTTGTCTTATCCCTTAGCATAGCATTCTTGAGGATGAGAATTAGTGTTTTAAGGAGAGAATTTCTTTTTCTTGTGTGTGTATTCAGTTTTTGATAGTTTCCACGTATCCAAGATTTGCATCAGTTACGGGTTTTGATACTGTTGCAACTGTGTTACATTTGGACCCACATCGGCAAATGAAGACCTGTACGCCTACTCATCTGTCGCCTCTACAGGAGATTCCAACAACATTGATGTATTTTATTGCAATGGAATGATAACAAAGTTTAAAGGTGTTTGTCGGAGAAGATAATCTAATTACCCCCACAGTCATCTTCGTCCTCCCCTTCGCGACAGTCTAGCTGGCCGTTACACAGCTGGGACTCCATCACACAGGCACCATTGGAACATCGGAACTCTTTAGCACCGCACCCTGTAGTCATAAATTTAGAAAACATATAATTTCCCTGAAACGGTATGACGGGGATACAAACTATTAATAGAAACAAAAAAAAAATTATTTCATTAATATGGTCAAGTCACTGCGGGCTAAAAGAATTAGGACTTTTCTAGATTTGTTTCTTTCTTAAAGTACCTTAAAAGATGGTTACTGTCGAGACATTTTCATTTGCTAATTTCTAATCTAGTAACATTGTTGAATTTCTGAAAAATCAGGAAAAATAGAATAGCTGGTAGAATAGTTTTTACATAGCATATGCATCGATTAACCTTCGTCCCATATGGTGCTTGTTCATTTGTTTGTAAGTAAAGCCAGTGTATGGCTTTGGAGCGAGAGATACTTGTTTTATTAATTTCTTAAAATATATTTTTTGACAAATTAAAAATTTCAATTTCAATTTATTTATTTAACCAGTAATTACAACTCAGGCAATTTTGGTCTGTTTTTTTCAGGTAATCCTGGATACACATAGAAATGCACACAACAAATACACAGTACATATTAAACAAGTACTAAATACAACATCCTAAATATCAACTGGATCAAGTCCTGCATCTAATATACATATCACAGTACATATACATACTTAAAATGATAACTTACTTTCAGTTATATTTTGCTTACCTCCTGATACACAATTATTCTCGTCTATTCCGTTCGAACAGTTCTCCACCCCGTCACAGACATGGTACCGTGGCAAACATCTGTCGTCACACTCTAACTGCAAACTATTACAGTTCCCTGTGTGTCATGCAAGAGAAACCAAAAAGGTAACTTGATAAAATGATATTGTCCTGCTAGCTATTCTGCGCATTATATGCTCAGGGGATTTTAGAACCTCTTGGAGCAACTTTTATTTTACTAGTCTGCAAAGTTGCTCCGAAGTACTAAAACATTAGCACTACGTACAGTCAGGAGAAAAAGTAGAAACTCTTTTAACATATTATAATGTTGTGAAATATTTTATAATGTTGAAAAAAACTATATACCCGGTGCAATAGCTCAGTTGGTAGAGTGCCTACATTGTTACTGACCCGGCCGGGTCATACCAAAGACTTTAAAAATGGTACACACTTCTTTCTCTGCTTAGTACTCTGCACATATGAGAAAGAGTGTGGGAAGGTCAAACACAGAGCACTACCAGCGGACCAGCCCCCTGTTGTAGTGCCCTGCACAACTGTGTGTCGCCCAAGGGCTACTACGGAAATGGGCATGGGCACCAAACCCTATGTCCTGCATAGAGCACGGAAGACCTTTTAAATATGCAAAATGAATACAAAAAAACACACCTTTACAGCCTTCTTCGTCCTCCCCTTTACTACAGTCACTCTGGTTGTTGCATAGTAAAGTATCCATCAAGCAGGTGCCATCTGCGCAGGAGAACTGATCTTTCCCACACACTGCACAGTTTCAGTAAATAAACATGGCAATTAACATCGTCACGCTTTCCTTTTGTCAGTTTTTAAGATGTCCCGCTTCAATATCGATTTTTTCTTATTTTTGCCTAAGTGTTAACAATATTTCAAAACCATCAACACTGACACAACTTATTTAATAAACAATGTGCATTAAAGTCCAGTATCAGCACTTAGTCTAATACAAGTTACTAAGGTAACTGATTATTCGTCGATTTGTCATCATACTCCTGCTGCTTTTTTTTATCCATTTGGCTATTTTTGGGAGAGCAAAACGATTCGAAAAACATATTTGCAAGTTGCTCTTACACTTAAGTATCCCCATATTGGCACACGGCCAGCTTTTTAAACTCAATTCTTGTTTGACATTATGTCATTTTGATTGGCTTTGTGTTTTTTTAATTCATTTAATCAGTATCCGCCTTGTGTCTTTGTCTATGTTTTTCTTTATTTCAATTTTTTTTTATAAATCGTCTTTCTTAACTTCAAAATAGTAGGGTCTAACATAAGTGTTTCAAATATTCCATTTTTCTTGTCCTGTGGTCTTTTTCAATGTATTTCATTATTTCTCTGTTTTCTGCTTTGTTCAAGCAAAATAAACAAGAACTAAAAATGTAACATTATTAACAAAGCAAATACATTATGTTTACCTTCACATGGTATAGCCTAACAGACTACGTATTACTCTTTTCTTTTTGCTCAAACACATTCATATACAATATGGAGAACAGCCTAACCAGCACCACAATGTGTCTGCTTCACCATCTGTTACCATGACAGTATGGGACAGGTCATTGATCCTGTTTGTTTCGAGAAACAGAAAATGAGAAAGAAGAAACTGACTAAATTAATAAGTTTTCTTCTGCGAAGGTAAACATATATATCTAAAAAATGAAAAAGAAAACGGGAACTCACCGACTCGTTGTCCAAAAAACATAACTTCGTCTAGCCATGGCTGCCAGTTTTCGGGGCCAGTCGCTGTGATGACCAGTTTCCAGAATCGACTGGTGGCCGAGAATCCCCCAAACTCCTGCGGGATGGTGGTGGTCATCGCACCGGTTACAACCTTCACATCTTCCCATTCGTACCGGATAGAAGAGGCCGACCTTTTTTTTATGATCACATAAAAAAACAGAAGAAGTAAATTGGTCGGAAATTATAGAAAGAATGCGTGGAAGAAATATAAAAGTTTTTTTTTTTGGGGGGGGACCCTTAATTTGTCAATTTGATTATATTAGACATCCTCGATGGCAAGAAGGTTTGTTAGGATAAAAAGGATTTCAGCATACTCTTAATCGCACAAATCAGCTGTAAAAGAAAAAGAAATATATATGCTATAATATTCATATTGCAAAAAAATGTACGAAAACGTTATTAATGTCTTGGTATGCAAAAATGGATTCTGTGTGTTTAGACATTTTTTTTTATTTTGTCAAAATTTTTATTGCTCAGATCATTTAAGGGTTCTCAGGGAATGCAATTCATATAATCAAATCAATATGCAATTATCAAATATAAAGAGTGAGTTACTGATACTTCAACGCACCTGCTTTGTAAACGAGATGAGGCAAAGTAAAAAAAAAGGCAAGATCATTTGTAGGAACGGAAGTAATATACAATCAATTTTAACATAAATGAAAAAAAAAACAACTTAAAACCTTTGAAACTTGAATGCAGAGATGCCTCCCTCGGTAGCTATGCTGATTTTGTTAAGCTTGTAGGGTACCAGAAGGTCAAAGATGATGTACCATGGGCCAGACTCGACTGGGTACCAAATATAGATTATACCATCAAGAACGTTGTACGCATCGTACCCGGGACTGAATGGACTTGTCGCATCGATCACCCAGGAGGTGGATCTTTCCAGCCAACCTTTGTAACATAGTAAACATATAAGTATTATAAAAGTATGCAGGAACAGGATATTTCTATTCAAATTTTGAAAGCCTTCTCATTGCAATATATTAGCGCAGATGTGGAGTGTATATGTGTACAGTTTTGTTTATCTTTACTATCCTTGTCAATATATCGACATAAGAGATACCGATGCAGACTCAAGTGTGTTACGTAGATAGGAGGTTTTATCGGTATCACCGAAAGGCGTTTATCGGCTATATAGACACAGAAGCTGGTACGTTACACAGAAATGTGGTTTTTTGTTCATTTAAGTTTATTATCGAGTAGTTGCTAGTTGCTAGAAGTTGAGTTATGGTGGAACGGCCGGCTATGAACCCGTGTTGGAATTCGTGCAGCGACCCTCTCAACATTGGAATCAACTGATTATACATACTACGTTCCCTCACATTTCTTACGAGGGATAACAAGAATACTGACTTGTAGTTGGCCACATTCTCCTTGTCACCTTTTTTATACAATGGCAGTACGTTTGCATCCTTCCACTTACTTGGAACACAACCTACGGATAATGATCTATTGAATAGCAAGGTCAAGGAAGGAGCAAGAATCATGGCACAGCCCTTGAGAACATCAGCAGAGATGCTATCTGGACCTACAGGCTTACTAGTGTTGAGGTTAAACTGGCTTTACAGAATCTACATAGTTTACACCCACCTCTAGTTGCACAGTTCATCTCATCCTTTGCGTCCCAATCCAAACAATCAGCAAAACCGTCGCAGAAGCGGTTGTAGGAAAACTTCATTCCGTCACACTCAAACCACTGGAAACCGATCAGTTCTGGAAAGGCACGTAAATGTACCAGTCAGTGAATTATTAAAAAAAGGGGGGACCACGAGTCATTCTATGCAAATATTTAAACTCGGATGAACGTATGTCTGTTGGTCAATTGTCAAATGTTCAATCGTGTTTTAAGAAAATGAATTAATTAATTATAAACACTCCTTATTCGTACAGTTAATCACCGTCCTTTTGCAAGGAAGCTAAAAACAGACATGATTTGTATCAGGCTTGCAATGTATTTTATTAAGCAATTTTTTGTATGCAGCATTCTGGTAAAACCTTTCAAACACATTGAAATGTCATATAAGCTTTCATTAATGAAGTGATACCCCAAAGCTACTCTGCATATTTATCATTGGCAGACATTTTAATCTTACTCTGGCAGTTTTCTTCATCTATCCCAGAAAAGCAGTCCTTGTCTCCATCACACACTGACGTCTTGTCAATACATTCTCCAATGCCACACTCAAACAGGTCCTTCTCTGAACAGGTCTCTATAAACATTAAAATGGGAATAGTATTTTTAATTTCTTAACATTCCTTAGCACTTATATGTAAATTAAGGATTATTGACCCGCACCGAGGTGAATATGGTGTGATAAAGCCTTGTCAGTTGCTATAATCACCGGATAAAGCCACTGAGTGAGCGCAGCGGCCATCCTATATTATCATATAGCCTTTTAAAACTTATACAGTAAAGAGTTACGCATTCCTGTACAACACATACAAACTTAAAAAGAAACTTAAATAGAACATTGTGTTCCATCTGGAGTCACCTGAGGTCACTGGGGGAGGGCATGTTCTATCTGGGTCAAAGGCAGGGAACAGGTGTTCTTATGGGAGTCACCCGAGGTCATTGGAAACCTTCTGGTCAAATTATATCAATATTAGCTGGCACCAGGTGTGTGATTCAATTGTTATAATTAGAACAGGAAAATCAGGTAATACAAAATATGGCCATACACTACTTCCAAAACATTTACTCTTAAAACAGCCAAATACGAACATTCGGGTTTAAGCCAAAAGTACCGATGATTCTAAAAGTGGTCAAAAATTCTAAAATTATGTGAGTGTATGTCACCCATATCAAATTTCAGTTAATTTTTTTTTTTAATACCAGGGCTACTGAGCCCAAGAATTACATTTTTATTATCCTTAGCAAGAATCATGAGACACCTAGATGCACAGTCCTTTATAGATCTAGAACTGGTATAAAACTGAATTTTATCATTTTGCATTTTCGAGAGGAAAGCCGACGTGTCATTTAATTCAATTGACATTAATTTATACCCTACGTTTATGAGGTTATGTGTCTATGTATGTATTTATGTCTTTTTTTCGTTTCCATTAGCCCTAACATGGTTTTAAAATTAACAACGAAGATCTAAAGATACCCCATTTAAATCATTTGCAGCCAAGAACGAAAATACACCTATCAGGAATATATTTATTTATTTCTCTTTATTTACATACACTTAACGAAAATCAGACAAAAAATAGCACAACAGCTTCCACTCAATTGCAAGGATATGAATATAAATAAAGCAAGACTAAAACACAATAACGAAATACGTATGTAATTACTAAGCTGATAAAATGAAGATGAGTGAAAATCAGTTAAGTTGTAGATCTTCAAATAAAGAGAATATATAAGAATCTGGAATGTATATAACTTACTACACAGCAACTCGTCCGTCTCATCATCACAGTTGTTATAGCTATCGCACACTTGAGATGGTTCCACACATTTATGGTCGCTTTCACATTTGAACTCTACACTGGTACACTCTGTACAAAGGCACAATTTAGTCATCGGTTAAATACAATATGTTCATAAAAATCATTATGCCTGTTTTTTTCGTTTCTTTCTAGTGATATCGTCATTATTATATGCTATGCCCATAAGATCAATTTATAATTGTAATTCAATAGAAAATTACTTTATAATGGGGGCTTGATTATAGGTAATATCTTCTTTTTTCCACCGGCATATGCACTTCGTTTATATTATTTATTTTCTGCAATCTGTTCTTTGACTTACATTGGCAATTTATTTTCTATTGGCGGCTGTTACACATGTGTAAATAAATAAAATAAAATAATATATATACATACATGTATATATAGTTTGCATTTACTTTGTCCTGAGAAGCCAAGAAATGGGTGGTCGGATATATAATTTCACACCTTATCAACCCTATCAATCAACATGAAACCAGCCTCCACCCACCCACTTCCAATCTTCGCTGATCAGGACAAGGTAAATAGATAAATGCAAACTATTAAAAAAACCAGCGCAGTGAGTGGGGCTATGTTGCGTTACGATAGAGCGTTGGGCTCGGAACAGAGACTTCGAAACCTGCCATGCCCCCGATCTTGTGTCATTGGGAAAGGTGCTTTACATGACTTCCCCTTTACTCATCACAGATGGAAAATAGTACGTCTATTCTCCGTCCAATGCCTTTGTCATATATGTGTGAAATCATCAAAATAAGCTATCTAAACGTATTTGTGCTTTAACTATGTCTTGTGATAAATGTTGCAATAGAAAAAAAAACTTCGACACCCAAAATAATATTTAGTAGAAGTAAGCTTACCGCATCCACTTTCATCTGAGTCGTCGTCACAGTCCCTGATGCCGTCGCAGCGACCTTCCCCTGGGATGCAAGTGCTGCTCTTACATTTGAACCACCCGGGAACGCACAGCCACCCCTCGTCCACCCTTTGAACACCACAGGACTCGTCTGACACGTCCCCACAGTCGTTTACGCCATCACATACCCGGGACAAGGGCACGCAGATGGACGTTACTTCGCATTTGAACTCCGTTGAAAAGCATTCCCTGAAGTCCCAGCCATGCACGTGGCTAACAGCTGAGATGCAGTTCATAGCTATCGCGCTGAAGGCCCCTTGGCAGTCACTTAAGTCGCATTTTGCCATGAGGGCCTCGTGTAGGCAAGGAAAAGGAAAACCGTCCTCGCAGTCCATCATACCCAGAGGACAGACAGGAAAGTCGCAGTTTTGCTCATCCAAACCGTTGGGGCAATCAGTGTAACCGTCACACTGCTGCCAAAGTTCGAAACAGGCGCCACCGATTCCGCACTTCAATGTGTTGGCAGAATCAGAACATTCCTGGCAATTGTCTTCATCCGAACCGTCCGGGCAATCGGAATGATAGTCACATTGTTTCTCTTGAGAGATACACACGTCCGCACCCGGGCATTTAAAAGAAGAAACCGAACAAACCGAACAACTCGCTTCATCCGAGGCATCCGGGCAATGGTAGATGCCGTCGCATTGCCTTTCCAAATTGATACAAACGTCCAGACCTTCGCACTTAAAAGTCAAGGAAATGTTACAAACACTGCAGTTTTCATCCGAACCATCAAGGCAGTCCAATTCACCATCACACCTGGATTCGAAAGAGACGCAGTTGTCGGTTGTTTCGCATTTGAAAGCAGAGGAAGGACATTCGTCTTCCACAGGATGGTCAAGAATGGTACCATCGACCATTGGCAGCAGGCACAAAATAAGGAGCAAGCACGTCGCCATAGTAATTTTCGGTAGAGAGAACGCAGATGCCATCCCGTAAGTTAGGCTTAATCTGACACATGTAGTGCATCAAGCCAAAGTAAACAAAAATAGTAGTAGTATTAGTAGTAGCTTAACGAGTTTGTATAGTATTACGTGCAATTAGCAGTCTGTACATGCTTTACTTTACAACTGGGCGGAAATTCTTTCCCCTACAAGCAACCAGTCAACAGTTACCTGGTATGCATAACAATGAGACACCTGGTAGTTTTCTGTCCCCTTCTTGTCTTATCCTCAATTAGAGGCGTTGCTAGCTGGCTACAACTTAATTTGCACAAAGATATTTCAAACATCCCAAATATCATGTGGAGACTTGTACGTGCCTTAAAAATGCCCAATTAAGCATATGGCATGAGAATAAGTTTATCGAATCTGCCTGATATGAGTTTCATTTTAATTACCAAGAAATGCGAAATTCATTTTGTCCGCAGCTGCGTTCAGTATGAGTGGTTCGGGTGTACGTTTTTAATTACTCATAGGTTCTGCTTGTAAATGTGCACCTGGGCTGTAAACAACATGCTCGACGTATTCGGCTGTGCAGTATATCCGCACTACTCTTAACACATTAAGCAACCGTGGTATGCTTGACAACATTATCGTCGACGAAAGTATTTCAATTTAAAACTCATGCGTGCCTGAGAATTATACTTTAAGTGTATTCTGTCAGTTGGGCATACATCTATGTGCCGTTATGGCCAGGCTACAAAAACCTGTCGCTGTGAACCTGTCGCTGGTTTCATTCCCCATGATGCGTAGCGCCTGGGGTCGGAACCATGTTTTCCCGTGGTGCTTCGGGGTCCGAACCATGTTTTACCGTGGTGCTTCGGGGTCCGAACCATGTTTTACCGTGAAGTGGTGCTTCGGGGTCCGAACCATGTTTTACCGTGGTGCTTCGGGGTCCGAACCATGTTTTACCGTGGTGCTTCGTTGATGACGGAATAAAAAAAAAGAAGTTTTCTGCCCTAACATATGTTATATACTACAAGATCTCTTTAATTATCTTGAGCAATAGTATATCCTTTTATATTGACAAATGGTATCACATCACTACTGTAGATAGTGACATTGTGAACTACGTTTACGATGATTACTATTACTATTTCTTTAGTCAGATTTAACCTGTAGCATTTCATTAATTTTTAACACAAAATACTACAACTCTTTAAACACACAGAAAAACAATTTTTATAAGGTCAATGTACAGTTTGTCGTATAACAACCTTTTATTGCTACGTAAACTGGGAACTTTTATACCCCCTGGTGCTATACATCTTAGGAATAGGAAAACTGAATACGTGTTAGTAATGTTGGGCAGCACCTTATCTATTCCAAACGGATCTGTTTTCACAAAATGCTTTGTTGGTATAAATGCCTCAAATATTTGCTCTATCCGATGACACGAGGTTGATGAAATTTTGACAGACGCCTATAAACTAGGGTGATATTTCATGTATGTGATATGCAAGTGATCTTTTGACTGTTCACAAAATGAGTTTCTTCTTAATTACCGTAGATTTAATCAACCCTGCTCATTGCTGACTGCATACCAGTCTGCATACGTGACACTAAATTTGACCTGTAAACAAGGGATGTAGTTGCTCACGCCATAGCTTTTACACTAATACTGGTCAGATGTAGTTTACATTAGTGCTGAGTAGCTTTGAAAAGTTCTACATCAGAATGTTACCATCCGCCAAAACAACACTTGTGTTGATGTGGAGTCTGTGCCACTTTTTGCCAGGTGTATTTACACTTACAGGTAAGCAAAAATCCACCCTCGCTAATTGTAGAATGGCTTTTTTAAATACACAACAATGTAATTTGTAGCAATGGTAACCAAAACGAGTGTCGTTCAAAGAGTGGTGGGGGTCTTATAAGAAGGAAGGTGACAGAATCTGATTTTTGCGGCATAGTCATAAAATATGACGCTACCAAATTTGTAACCATTGCTGTCCATTTGATTTGATTTTAATTTGTTCAACTGTAAAAAGGGATATACAGCCAGGACGGTCCAACTAGCCAGAGGCTATTAAAAGGGCTAGCATACAAGTCAATTCAATTAGCTATATGACTTAACATTAAACCCCTACAGCTTCTTAAAAACTGCAACAGGCCTAGGTTTCTGTAAATAATTTCATCAGGTTGGTAAACGAATGAATAGCAAAGGTCTTTGATCACAAACATTTATTTTTACGAGCCGTCGTTTCGATGACCGTTCGCCATCTTTATCAAGGCAATTCTGACTGGTTTGCTGTGCACTGACACTATAGTTTTTACTTGGTGCATAGTGCACTAAAGATGTTACGTAGTTCGCAGTGCACTGTTATTTAGTTCGCAGTGCACAGTGCATTTCCAAACGTAGTGCAACTGTGACATACATAGGCATTGTTGCAGCATAGGGACATATGTGGTTCCAAATGTAAAATGTTTCCATATATAATATAAAATAAAATGTGTTAACTAACAATACTGACATGTCGTAGTGACGTTATTCGTATAATTGGGAGAAATATGAAATCCTTTGCGTCCAATTACATACTATTCCAAACTTTCGATATAGGTAGATATAAAAGAGGGGGGAATTAGAATTCGTATGATGGATGCACATATTGTATCTTACTACAAAAATCTAAATATCATGCTATAGAAAAATCCAACTTCACTATAGAAGGTAATAACCCCTACCGTGTAGAAATATATCAAAGGATGATAAGACAAAACAAGTATACGTTGATTCAGCCGTAGGTCAATTGTTTAGTACCCACGTGTCTGTATGTTTCCTTACGAAAGTCGCTGTACTTTTATTGTGCAAATAAAGCTCTCGTCGTGTTCTATTGTCCAGTGTTTATAACAGACTGTTACGTTTTAGGTGGATGGTTGGAGACTGATCCTACCTGGGTGACTTCAGATGTCTGGCTTGCCTCAAACGGTGTCCGATATGTTTCTGGCTATGTTCTGGACTCCAACCTAAACACAGGATGGAAGCGTGCGGCTGAGGAACTCAATTGGCAGCTGACGTTTGATCTCCAGACACCGATAACACTCTTCCGGATTAGGGCAGTTACAAAGGGGGACCATAAACCACATGTGACAGTCTTCCGTTCAACATCAGCAGGAAAACGGTGGAATATTGTGAATGTTAAACGCTCCACAGTTTTGGATAGATTTAGTAATGATTATGTTGAACTGAGTGGGTTCCTTTCCTCTGCACAGCATTGGCGGCTGGAATTTACCTCTTTGACTCATCTAACCCAAATCTACGAGGTCATGTTTTTTCAGGGTAAGTGATCATTCATTTTACAACTTTTATCCATGTTTCTTTAAATTCTAGTCGTTTGTGGTGAAAAAAAAACTGAGTGCACCTGATGGCACCACAGAGTACGTGCACTCATTTATTACCTCCATGAAAAAAGAAGATATTGTTCTTGGCGCGTCTGTCTGTGTGTCTGTGTCTGTGTGTTGTTCCGCAACTTTGTAGTCAGCATAACTTCATAACGCCTTTATGGATAGTGATACATTTGGTATGCTGATAAGTCTTATCAAGACAAAGGCCAAGGTCAAATATGGGTCTCCTGGTGGATGACCTTGGTACTGCAACAGAACTTCCGGTTTTTGTATCTTTTGTCCTGAACATGTTCTTTTTGTGATAGCTTTTCCTGTCACGAATAAGTGGTGTGGGTTTGGTCCCCCTAGCAGCTTGTTTTGGAACTGCAGGGGACTTTCTGGTGAAATCTTTAAAAGCCAGTAAGTCCAGATAGGAATACCGTATTTTTATAATATTTGGTGTGTAGGTAGCTAAGAGAGAGTTGCACATAATAAAATGAAAATTATACAAATGAGGACTTGATTCGCATAATTAAGGAGGAAATTCTATAATTACAGTGTTTGATATAATATTTTTTTATACATGTAATCTATTTAATCTGTTGCAAGAGGAACATCAATAGATACCAATTATGCAAATGGTGACCTAATTTGCATAATTAATGTGAAATTTCTGTTCTAATTGGGGAATCGATGGGAATTTTATACCTCGCGACATGTGTAAGTTACTTCAAGATTAACACCACTATACATATATTATGTTAACATAGATGTCATTTGCATGATTAATGAGGACATGTTAAAATGAATTCTGTCAAAACAAGCCCATATTTCATGGAGGTACGAGATCTCGGAACTCTTGTTTCCAACTGTTAAAATGCCAACCATAAATGTCGCAAATGTGAGAGACTTACATAGATATTAAAAAGTGGAAGTGAATAAAAATAATCACATAAAGTTTGTTTTAGTTGAGATACTTATGATTTTTGGTGCAAAACTGTTACATAATGCCTCTTTAACTAGCTTGCTCAGGATTTAACGGAACGGTATGTTCAGACGGTAACTGCGATGTGTACACTGTGATCTGTGACGGGATCGTGGACTGTGACGATGGGAGCGATGAGATCAACTGTGGTAAGAAATTTAGAGTGATCCGTAGGATGTAGAGTAAAAGATGTAAGTGGGATGGTTAGAGAAACTTATAGGCTACACACACAGCTGCTAGTCATTAAAATATTCTACTACTTTTTTGTGGTACCACAAACTGAGTACGTCTCGTGCGGGCTGTTTTAGCGCCAAAAGGAAATTAAAATCGCTTTTTAACTACATATGTCGTGTAATTTTTGTTGTGAAAGGTGTTATACAATGCCACTTTAATATAGGTATATTTATGAGCACATACAGGCTAAGACTTTCCGTCGTAATGACTTTCTACAGACAAGGAGATGTGCCGACATGGAGACATCATCAACAAGGTGCTAGTATGTGACGGTATAGATGACTGTGAAGACTTTTCTGACGAGGAAAACTGCTTTAAGCCTGTTACTCGGACAGGTAGGTTATTGTAAGATGTTTTCTCGTCATCATCTACCACTATTTTATAGACAAAACAGTGATAATTCTCTTCCAAATTATTCTAGTTATTGATGAAAGAAAGCAGATGACATATAAACACTTTCCTTCAGATAACGTATGCACTAGCTTGATTTATTGATATAATGTTCTCTCTACATTATTTTATTAATCTATATTTGTCTAAACTCATCGATATCAGCTAGTGATTAGTGGTGAAGCTTTTTTTTGGGGGGGGGGTCCCTGCTTAATCATAACCTGTAGGCATACCTGTATAGAACAATTGTGACCGGGGCAGTTTAATCCCCTGCCAGGCCCCCACAATCTTCCACGTACCACGAGGTCCCAGGTTTTGGGTAGGTCAGGAGCTGTTACGGTGACCAGACTCAGACCACGCCTACCTCTCGATACTAGATTCGACTGTCCACCACATAACGGCAACTGCTGACCTACTTTTAAGCAATGGCCAACAGCTTCCAAACCATGGCCCAACCTTCCAGCAACACTAGAACGTTTTATATATTTTAAACATTCTGTTGGTGCAACCAAAAAGTAGCCAACCTTGCTGAACGCATGCCAACATTGCTCACGACCTAGTCCCAACCATGGGTTGGAGGGGGGGGGGGGTCTGTGCATATCATAGGTTTAACCGATTTAGTTGTAGTTTGCATGAAGAAACAGTCCAGAATGATTTGCCAACGGTATGGTGTCGTGTGATTTAGAGCTTGTGCTAATTTTGGTTATTCTGAATTTATATAAAAAAGTGGGTTTTCTGTTTGACTTGATTTTGTTCTCTAAAATCTTCAGCTGCTTGTAAAAACGGTGCTCTTTTCAATCCGGCTACGAGATGTAACGGCCGAGATGACTGTGGAGACAACAGTGATGAGGAAAACTGCAGTGAGTATTCACATATTTAATTGTACGTTGCATAAGTTTTTTTTAGTATTGTATACGTATATTGTATTGTATATCAAATCATT